GACGCAACTGTATTCGGCGCTGAAGCCCGCCATCGTCGGCATGAAGCGATTTTCAGCGTCTCTGAGGGTGTTGGGCTCCATGGTGTCTTTCAGGCGCATGTTCAAAATCGCCGTGAAGCCGCTCATTCACATAGAGTACGGTGAGTATCCCGCCCGATGCCAAATTGCATCGCATGAGGTGCATCAGGCTTCTCACCACGAGTCTGCAGTGTTCTGTGCCGAAGCTGGTCGTGCGGCACATGTTTCCGAATGGCGACTGGCGCGATAGGACGAGGACTCCAGTTTACGTGCCGGGTGTTGCGGAGGATTATATTCCAGATCAGCTTTCTGAGCGGAAGGCCTTGATCGTCGAGGGCCTATGGTATTCTTTTTTTGCAGCAGGGCCCCCGACAACTTCGCGGAGCGCCATTGGACTTTCCATGCAGGGTGCACGTGCGCGTCCGGGATGCTGGAGGCGTGCAACGGCATCCTTGGTCACGCGTACGAGGCCTGGGCCAGTTTTATAGGCGCGAAGCGTCGCAGAGGCACCGCTGGAGTTGGCGGCGGGCCCGCCGCGGCTGCTGCGCCCGCGGGCGCAGCTGCGACAGCAGGCGGAGCTGGGTTTCATGTTGTTCCGTATGCTCCTCCGCCCGCAGGCGATGGTGGCCCTTCGGATGAAAGGCGCATTCCCGCGTCAGCAGCGGAGCAGCAAAACTCTGCCGACAGACAACTTGCCCTGGATTGGATTGTGTTAGAACCGTTGTCCGATGTAATGTGGATGCGACTGGCGCTCGCAATTCCTGCGCCACTCGACCACGTCGGGCTGACGATGTCAGGCGACGCGAGGGAGGCTGAGCCGCGCCACAAGGTAGTGCAGGCCCTTGCTGCAGGGCTCCCCATGGCGGACGCGATGGCCACGAGCAAGCTGCGCTACATGTTCGATGAGGAAAAGTTTTGGGACGTCATCCCTAGGAAGTATCGCACCGAGTGCAGCGCGTGCAAAATCTGACCGAGGTGTGCATCAACAACATCACCGATGAGCAGCTAGCCGATTTCGTGGGCAGTCGATGTGCTTCAACCTGAGTGGCGATAGCATCTCCGAGGACTTCGACCCATTAGACCCCTCTCTCAAGAACGGGTCGAGTACCAGTGCCGAGGAGTATTCCTGCTTTTTCGAGATCTTGGTTCAGGAGGTGCTCTGCCCTGGGGTTGCGAATGCTATTGAATGCGAAGATGCCGTTCATGCATGCTCATACAGGTGGGCACTGAGCTTCGCGACTCCAACTTCCCGGCTGAGCTCGGGACAGAGACCATGGATATCCGCGCTGCATGAAGCTCGTGGAAGCACTGGCCAACCCGACCGACGACTGCTCGCAGCGTCCCTCGAAGGCTGCCTCCATCCAGAAGATCGAGGCGGCGTCGGTTCAGTTTCCCCAGGGGGTCAGCCCGATGGCGTGGAACTGCTTGCACGGTGCCCCGTGCCACCTGACGAAAATCGAGGGGACCAGCGGGTCGGCGACGGCCTGAGAACAGTTCGGCCAGCAAACCAAGGAGAAGTCGGGATGGCTGGAGACGTTCGCCGAGGAAGACAGCCGCGCGGACGCCCTCGCACCAGAAGGGGCCATCCACACGAGGGGGCGCCCCGAGGTTGTCATCAGGGCGTTGCTCGGATGGCACTCAGGTCCGTTTCGGCCCAGGGCGCTCGACGTTTTCGACGACCAAGCGAAGAAAGCAGTGGAGCACGTGTACCAGAGCATCATGGGCCAAGGCGGGGACACCACGAACATCCCCCCTGAACGGGTCAGGGCCTTTCCGGACCTCATGCAGGCGGTCCAGCAGCTGCTTCCGCTGGACGATTCGATCGCCAGTTGGGCGGTCACCCCGGACAAGTGGCTGGCGATTGACGGCCCGCTCGCCAAGCAGAACGCCCTCAAGAAAAGCATCGAGGAGATCGGGGCGGCCCTCAGGGACGGCACAGGCGAGGTCAACTCCTCGATGCGCGCGAACTTCGTGGATGCTCTGAAGAGCTCTGGCGCGGCCGCCCCCAACGCAGAGCACGGCATCTTCTGGACGTGGGCCGCCATCGTTCACGGTGACAGGACGGAGGGCGACACTGGCCTCGAGCATTCCGAACATGTTTTGGCGACGGTTGCAGGCTACCTCAAGACGACGAAAAGCCAGACCGCCAAGAAGGTCATCCAGTATCTCTCGGAGTTTCGGCACATCCAGGTGACATGGCATGCCCTCGAGAAGCTCGGACCTACCCCGACAGACGCCGCCAAGCACCCCGACGTGATCCGCCTAGTCCAGGAGGGCCTGAGCAGAGTCATCACGATGAGGGAGCTCAATGCAGCCATCAGCGAGGTGGCGCCGAGCAAGATCAGCACTTGGGATGCGGCCGTCGTGCGCTACGGGGCGATCGCACGCAACATCAAGCAGATCGCCGAAGCCGTCGGTGAATCGGCGCGGGAGAACTTAGACAACATGCTCGTGGAGTTCAAGAAGATCAACCGTGGCGGCGTGAACGGGGAGTCCTGGAACGAGGGCTTCAAGGGGAGGAGTCTGAAGGCGCTGGTCCAGTTCGGAGTCGGCAAGCTCACGCCCGATGAGGTGGACCTCGAAAGGGCGTTGTCGCTCGCGAGCGACATCGAGAAGGACGAAGGGTTTCAATAAGGCAGGCGGTAGGTATCCGACAACCCGAGCCCCTGCCCTCCCGCCTAAGACCCATGTCAGGGACGTCAGGAGGGACGGCAGGGGCTCGGGGGTCGGATCGGTGGTTCGAGGGCCTGTGGCCCGTCGTCGTCGTCAGTGTCGTCGTCATCTGTAGTTGTCGTCGTCGTCGTCGTCGTCGTCGTCGTCGTCGTCGTCGTCTGTCTCGCCACCGTCAGCCGTCGTCGTCGTCGTCGCCGACGTCGCCTTCGTCGCCGCCGTTCTGCTTGCTCCGCCGCTTCCCCATCCTCCTCCGCCTCCTCATCCTCCCCATCGTCCTTTCTGAGCCCCGCGCCCTTCCGCGCGATCTTCATCCCCGTCCTAATCCTCCTTATCCTCCTCATCCTCCTACTCCTCCTTGTTACCCTCCACGCCGCCCCCCTCCTGGCATCATCCTCCTCCTTCGCCTCCGCGCCCCCCCCCGGCAGGAGCTCAGCAACTGCGAGGCGAAGGTCGAGGCGGTCGGGCTCGGGTTCGTCGATCCGACGTTCAAGCTGGACGTCGCCAGGAGCCTGGACTGGGGCCGCTCGCTGGGCCTGTTGGCCCAGCTGGCGCGGCTCCTGGACGCCGCTACGGACGCGGCCCTCCTCTGCGCCAGTGGCCGCAATATCGAGGCCAAGATCAAGAAGAACCAGGTGCTCACGGGGGTGGACGCGCCCCCGCCGCTCCTCCACAAGAAGCTGGACAGCGCCCTCGGCTAAGCGCCGAGGGCGACCGACGCGGCGGCGCGCCGCCCCTCCCCGACCGGCGCGGATCCGATCGAGGCGCCTGCAAGAGGCGCCGAGGAAATGCGGCGGCGCCCCCAGGAGGAAGAATGAGGAGGAGGAGGAGGAAGGGGGAGGCGCAGGGAGGCGGCGGAGAGGGAGAATCGCGAGGGAGAAGGGCACGGAGCGACAGGGGAGGGTGGAACGGGGCGGAGGGAGTCGAGGGGAGAAGGCGAGGACGAGGGGGGCGGGCTCGGAGGGAGGAGGGGGCTCCAGCGTCGCCACGGCTGCATTCGGCTCGAAACGTTGTAAGCTTTACCCCGTCGGCCTCAGGTAGGCTCAGGGGTGGAGCAACCGCCCCATGGGCCGTGGACGTGTTGGGCGGCTGGGGCCTCGTTGGCGTTCCGTGGGAATGTCTTGCGCCCTCTATGCCTCCCTGCCTCCTTGGTGGCGCTCCGCCCTCCCGTGCCTCCCGCCCTTCCCTCCTCCCGCGCCTCTCTCCCTGCCCTCCTTCCTGCCGAGCCCCCCCCTTATCCCCCCCGCCGCTATTCCCTCGAATATTCCCGTGGATTCGCATTTCTCCGCCTGTCTCCGTTAACCCGTCGAGGGCCCGACCCTCGAGGGGGGCGTGCCGATATGGGCAAGGGGGCCCTTGTCATTCTGCCTCGCGAAGCTCGAGGTGTAGCCCCCAGCTGGGCGCGATCCGCAAGAGGGGTGCGCCAAGATAGCGGTGTCGACTGATGTGGCGCTGAATGTCCCTGCAGCGAACTCGCGACCCGCGCGCGTAGCGGCGTGGATCGGCGATTGCACAGCTATAGTTGGTGAGGCCCCATGCGATTACGAGGCCCGCGCAATGGGCCATGTTGGGGCAAACCCAAGACCATGTAAACTACCATGCGTTTTGGGATAAGGTATAACCATTGTTTTACCATGTTGGGGTTTTCCTGGAATATATGTCCTTAGGAGGACATTGTCGTGATCTCACGGGTTTCCAATGTATCCTGTGGGCCGCCGCCGTTCTGGTTGCTCATGTCTTGAGGGGCGTGGGAGAGGCCCACGAACCACGCCGTCGCAGGGGTGGTCTCTTATCTCACCAGGTGCCCGCAGGTGCCATCGTGTCCCGCCTGTCCCGTGTGCTCATTGGCGTGCGGGTCGCCAGCCCCTTGCCCTGGGTGATCGCTGCAGTGCCTAGCGATCCCGCCGCGCGCGGAGGTCGCCCCGGCGGCGTGCCCCTCGCCGCCGCCCTGCCCGACGCCGGCGTGCCCGACGTGTGGGGCCTGCCCCGCGCCGGAGGCCGCGCCCGCGCCCGCGGGGCCGGAGGTGGCGGCGCCTTCGGCGGCGGCTGTGCTGGTGAGCGACGTCGCCATTGACCTGCGCTCCCTGGCCGCGGGCCTGGTGGGCGGCGCAGTGGGCTTCCTACTCGCCGCTGCGTGCGTCGGCTTCTGCTGTGTCGTGCTTCGGAGGGATGCTCGCCCGCGCGTTCGGCATCCTGCTGGCTGTATCAGTGATGACGGCGGTGGCAACGAGTCGCTCGGTGTACGTTTTCTACGCCGACGAAGTGGTGTGGCACCAGCTTTTGAATCTGTGGGGGGGGGGGCATCGTCCGAGGCTGACCGCGTGATCTACACGGCGGACGGCGATCCATACAACGTCGTGCTGGCCAACAATGCTGCGGTGCCGGCGGTGCGTTTCGGCGCCTTCAACCCGACGCCTCCAGGGGTCGGGCGTCCAGGTCCATGGGTCCAGAGCCGAGCCGACGGGTGCGGAGCTGGCCCAGCGCACCGTGGAGGCGGAGCAGATCGCCACAGCGGGGTGCTGCACCAGGGCTGCGGCCATCGGCGACCTCGGCCTGCCCACCAACCTGCGGTTGTTGGTCGCGCCGGGAGGAGGAGGAGTGGCTGCCCCCAGCGCGCCCGCGGGCCTTGCGCTGGGCTCGCGGTGCGGAGCGGCCGTGCTCCCCGCGGGCGCGCCTAGTTGTGACCCCGCTGGGGTACGGGGGGCGGCCGCTTGCGAGCGTGGATATCGGATTGGCGATGTGGTGCTTGGGCGCGATGCCCCTGCAGCTCGAGTCCTGGGCCATGACATTCATGGGCTGCCAGACGGCCAGGGTTTGCTCGTGGAGCTGGGGCCGCCGTCCGCTCCCGAGACCATATTGCGTGCAGCTGTTGATGCGGACACCAGGATATTGCCCAGTGTTCGAGATGGGCAGGGTCGACGCAACGCCCCGTGGCACAAGACTGAGGAGATGACCCGCCAGGAGGATTTCGGCTCGGACGTGGCGCTGCCGGGCCCGTGGACGGCGGCACGGTGCATGAGCTACCCGCAGCGGGAGGGCCTCTGCATAGAGGGCCATCACGAGCACTTGGCGCGGGTCTGTAGGCTCGCCGCCACGGATTGGGGAGTTCAAGTACACTACGAGGTGTGTCAGCAGATCAATGCGGCAACCAGTCAGGACCTCCTAGACGGGGCTAACCTCATCAGCATTGAGATGAAGTTTGGGAGGCTTCAGACCTTCGAGCTTGCCCACTCGGACAAGGCCGAAGACGCCGAGAGCAAGGGCGTCGGTGGCAAGATGAGTCTGGAGGGGCAGCCCGCTGTCTCGGGGCTTTCACGTTCAACTTCGTCGGTGTTGGTATCTCCTGGGTTGATCGAGCAGGTCCGCGGTGACTCTGAGAAGGAGGCGAAGCTACACAAGAGTTTGCGCCTGGCCCGCGAGGATCGGGAGGCCAGGCGCAAAAATGACTGAGCATCGGAGCCGTGCTGGCATCGGAGGGGGGGGCAGCACGAGTACTACACCCCTCCACGACGGCGACCCGTGTGGGCCCTTCTTCCCTCAGGACGTCCACGTCGTTGGCAGGCGTCGGCCCCGGGACATCTTGCCGCTGCCCTATCCCTCGTTCAAAGAGCCGCTGGATAAGGCTTCTATCAAGGAGCTCGCCCGAGGTACGGGGCAAAGGATTGGGCGAAGGCTTGGTGTCTGCAACGATGTCTATGCGTGCGTGGACGCTCGCAATTGGCTTCATGACCCGTCCCTCCGTTGTGGTCGTGACCGTTCTGCACGATACGTTGGGCCGTCACTCGCTCAGAGCCAGTGCCTAGCCCACATCTCCGAGTCGGTGCGCAACCTTGGTCCGCCGCCGTCGATTCTTTCTCCCGCAGAAGCGCTGGTGCAGCTTCGCGTGGCCGGGGGTGCTTACAATGTCGAGCAGTCGCCCCTCAGGAGTTACGACCCCGCGCTCCTGTCCTTGCCGGACGTCAGTGCCGCCCCTGTGCCGCTGGCCGACGTGCGGGGGGAGGGCGGGCAAGCCAAGGTCGAACAGTTCGTTCTGCAGAGCTTGATGGATCCGAGCGGGGCCGAAGCCAGGCTGAGGCAGAGCGCTATACCTGTTCCCTACTCTGACCCTCTTCTACGTGACCAGCGGCGCTGGTCCAGTTTTGTTCAGTTACTGCACGAGCGGCACCTAGTCGACTTCAGCCTTGAGGACGGCGTTCGAGCCGAGATTTTCTTTGTGAAGAAAAAGGGGGGCCGCCTTCGCATGGTGGCGGACTGCCGGCGCTCCAACGGGGCGTTCACCGAGCCCCTGGGCGCGCGGCTCGCGACGGGCGACGCCTTTGGTATGCTCGAGATGGCGGCGGACGACTCGCTCCTGACGGTGGAGGGTGCCGACTTGAAGGGCGCCTTCTACCACCTTGAGCTCCCCGAGCAGCTCCGTCCGTGTTTCAGCCTGCGACCTGTGCGCGCGGGCGTCCTGGGCATCAAGGAGGTCGGCGGGGTCGCTGTCGGAGCCTCCACCAAGCTCTACCCGCGCCTCAGGGTCGTGCCCATGGGTTGGTCCTGGGCAATGTGGTGGTGTCAGTCGGTGATGGAGCGAGTGGCAGAGGCAGCAGGCTGTGGTGATGACGCACGACTTCGAGATGGCAGGCCCGCTCCCTCGCTGGGCCCATCGTGTCACCTAGAGTACGTCGACAACTTCGTGAGCATCGGCTACGACGCGGAGGCGGTTCGGTCCGCCGTGACTCGTGTCATGACGGAGCTCAAGCGCCGGGGCTTGGTGGTGACCAGGGAGGAGCACCTCGGTGACAGCGAGGGCGAGTATGCGGTGCTGGGTTGGTCCATCACTGCGGCAGGGCGTCTCTCGGCATCGGCTTCGAGATTGTGGAGGATGCGGTTAGCGGTGCGTGGTATTCTGCGCCGTGGTCGTGCCAGTGGTCGTGACCTCGAGCGCGTGCTGGGCCACATCATCTTCGTCACCCTCGTTCGGCGCGAGGGCTTAAGCATCTTCGAGGCGAGTTTCCGCTTTGTCCAGAAGTGCTACCACCAGCAGGTGCCGCTCTGGTCTCAGGTCAGGCAGGAGCTCATGGCCTGGATGGCGTCGCTCCTTTGCTGTGGCGTGATCTCCGTGCCCAGTGGTCGTGTTCCGTCGGCTGCGTAGACGCCTCCCCTTGGGGGTTGGGCGCCTGCGAGGCTGATTGGGATGTCGGCGCTGTTCGGGAGGTTGGTCGTCATAGCGAGCGGTGGCGCTATGGCAGGGCTGAGCGCTTGCCTCCTCGTCGCCGTGCCCTTGCCGCTGAAGGTGCCGCCGACGGGGTCGCAGCCTGTGACCTGGGGATCGTAGCGGCCCAGCTCGATCCTGGCTGTCCAGCGGAGGGCAGCCAGCCCGTCGGCCCGCCTGTGGAGCGCGACCTGCTCGCCTTTCCCGAGGTCTCGATGAAATACCTGGACAAGTCGTTGTGGCGTGTCACGGGACGTCGTAAGTGGGATCGTCTTGAGGGGATGCCTGTTCTCGAAGCTCGGGCGGTCCTGTACCATGTTCGGCATGCATTACGGGCCGTTCGGAACCATGGGAAGAGGATGTTTGTCCTGGGAGATTCTCTCGCGTCTGTCTCGGCGGCCTCTCGGACGCGGGCCCACAGCCACACCATGTTGGGGATCATGCGCCGTATTGGGGCTCTGTCTCTGGCGTCTGGGAGCTCTTTTTGTATTCGGTGGATACCGTCTGAGCATAACGTCGCGGATGGCCCCTCTAGAGGCCGAGGAGAACCCAGTCTCCCTACAGCTGTTTTTCTAAAGGAGGGCCTCTGCAAGACCCCGAAGTACAAGGTCGGCCTGGACCCCGAAGAGTACGACCCTCCCCAGGGGCCCCATCGAGGTAGGCTACTTCGTGACCTAGATGAGGAAGAAGGAGAGCCCCATAGGGATCCCGATCAAGAGCAGCACGGACCAGCACTACACGGTTCTCAAGAGCGGGGTCAGCACCAGCACATGCACGAGGAGGTGGGCGAGAAGGTGGTTGAGGAGGAGGAGCGCGGGTGTGATGAGGGCCTCGGAGTGGCCTCGCTGGAGGACGTCTGGGGAGTTCATGGTCCGCTTCGCTCTGAGCCGCTGACTGGCCCAAGACCTCGACGTATTCTTCCATATGTTGTCGGCTCTCTTCCTCGTCGCCCTCGTCAGCACTCTTCCGGCCATGTCCGCGGGGCTAGTGCTGGGGGACGCTCGCAAGCGGCCAGCCGCGGCTGCGTGCTTGCCGCCGACGGGGGCCTCCCTGGTCCGGGGGGCTCACAGGGCTGGCTTGCAGACGCCGACGCTGCCGGTGCTCCAGGCCTCGCCCGCGAGCCGCCAGGGCTCGAGCGGTGGTCCCACGCCGCAGCAGCGGGCTCGGCTGGTCCAGTCGCCAGCGGGCATGCCAGAGCTCAACGCAGCATCCGTGCGCACGGCGTCGGAGGGTCAGGCTTACCTCTCGATGCTGGTGGGTTTCGACAACTGGACGAGACTTCATCTGGGGGCTATGCAGGAGCCTGCCCAGATGGACCGAGCGGTCTGCGACTACATCAGCCAGCTCGTCGAGCGGGGGTATCACCAGACCTACGCCGACCTCATGATAGCGGCGCTGGCATGGCGCGATTCGCGCTATGCCAGGTCGGGCCAGTTCGAGCTGCCGCCGTCCGAGCAATCCGCCAAGGTGTGGCGCAACCTGGCCCCAGCTCGCAGCCGAATTGCCCTTCCGCACGAGGTCGTCGCCATGGTGGTCTACGGCGTGCTCCATGCAGTCGACCAGCGCAGTGTGGCCAACGCAGGGCGTGGGGCTGTCACCGCCTTCGGCCTCCGCAAGCTGGGTGCCTGCCACGGCCTCCAGCTCCGCCACTCAAGCCCAAGCCACGACTACGCAGTGGGGCTGTGCGACCTGGAGCAGATCAGGCGGCGTGGGTGCTGGAAGAGCTGGAGCTCAGTCCGCAGGTACGGAAAAGGAAGCCGCCTGACCGAGCAGCTGCACCAATTAGGAGGGCTGCAGCGAGAGCACGCGGAGGCCTGCGCTCGCTTGCTGAGCCGTGCGTCGCACGGCCTGCCCTCAGCATTGGTGCCGGTCTGCCCGACCCGCCAGTGATTTTAGAGTTGTTCTCTGGCTCAGCAGGATTTTCGAAGGCGGTCGCTCAGTTAGGCATGCCTGTTTTAATGTGGGACACTACTTTAGGCGAGAAATACGACCTCGCCCGACCATGCAATCGCTCGATGCTCTTGTCTTGGATCCGTGCTGGTCGAGTCAGGGGTTGCCATGCAGGGGTACCTTGCAACACGCTGACCAGGTGCCGCGATCATGGGGTCGGGGCGCCGCCAGTACGATCCGATCTCCACCTCTTTGGCCTCCCGAACCTCCCTCCTCATTTGCAGGCGATTGTCGATGTATCCAACATCCTGAACAGGTTTGTTGCCAATCTCGCTGGTGTGTCACTTTCTCTACGTGTGCCATGGAGTATCGAGAACCCTAAGACTTCTTGGCTGTGGCTCTTCCCACGCTACAAAGCCCTAGTGCGGCGCCGGGCTGTCTCTTTCCACGTCACCTCTATGTGCCAGTGGGGTGCGGCTTGGAAAAAAGATACTGGCCTTCTCTTCGGGGACCTTGACCCGGGGCCGTTCTGTCAGTCGCGCCGCATAGGATCCAGGCGTGGTATTTGCTCTCGTACGGGACGGGCTCACGAACAGCTGCATGTTTTTTTTTGCCCTCAGGAGGTTTCAAGACCAAGAGAGGGGCAGAGTACCCTCGAAAATGTTGCGTCGCCCTCGCTCGTCTCTTTCACAATGCCGAGGTCAGAGCTTCCGCAGAGGTCATACAGCGATCGTGTGGTTTGTCAGTCTCTTTTCTTCGGCGATGCCAGCTTGCTCTGCAAACTCGGGAGCATGTTTGGTGTTATGTTCTGGGGTTGAGCTCTCACCCCAGGACTTGCGCTTGCCTATGCCTCGCTCGGCGGTCTCGACGGCTGGATTCCGCCCGTGCTCAGTCTCTTGCAGTTGCTAGCAGAAACAAGAGCCCAAAGGATTACTATTATAAGTCACGGGGCCCCCGTGTCCGAGTCCACCCGCGACATGTTGGATCTGGTTTTGGCTTAAGCGGGGGCCGTTGACAATGCGTGCGACATCAGGGGCCGGGGAGACGCGAGCCTGTAGACCAAGCACTTCTTGGTCACGCGTTCCGTCGCCCTCCAGATCGGGCGCGCGGCCGAACCCAGGGCGCGGCAAAAAGACGGGAGCGCATTTAAACGACAGTCAATCGCACACGATTTCGCCAGCACCTGTAAGACGGAGGCGAAACAAGTCCTCGCCCATGACTCGGAAGATTCGGAGTGGACCGGCTTGGTTGAGGCTTTCAAAGTTTGCGACTCCATCGCCCAGACAAGACCAGTATTTCCAACAGGCCATGGGCCCAACAAGGCGCCCTCGATCTGATAAGGTTTCGCGCAGAGGCCCGGGCGCGAAATGACGGCAGAGAACAACGAAGGTTGCACAAACTTGTTCGCCAGTCCGCCAAGAAGGGCAACGCAGCGCGGCTGGACGACATTATCAAGTGGGGGAGTTGGAAAGACTTTGATCTGATCAGGAAGCCGAAGAAACCGGAGGCATCGCGCGCGCGGAATCTGGCAGGAGCCCTCGCACCCATCGAGGCCAAGACAGACGCGATGGCGGAATATCATGAGCATGTTCAGTGGAAGGTGAGACCCGCGAGCGCGGTCGACAGGCCTCCTATCGGGCCGCCGCTCACCGTGGACGAAAGCGACTTCGCGCATCGCCAAGTCATGTGCGCCGCCCGCAAGCAGAAACACAACCAGGCGGCAGGAGAGGATCAGATCCCGGCGGAGTATTGGAAGACTTGTGGGAGGTGATGAGTGTTTGTCCATCATTGCCAGGCTCATGAACAGGTGTTGGAGGCGGCGCGAGACTCCGAAGTGCTGGCACAAAGCAGTGACCAGTACGATTCACAAAAAAGGCGCCACGGACCTTCCCAGCAACTACAGACCAATCAGTTTGCTCTCGCTTGGATACAAGACATTCGCTTCCCTCGTGCCCACGCGGCTCCTTGAAAGAGGGATTCAGTCAACATCAATGCTATGCTTGTGGCCCTGGAAGGGCTCGGGCCTCCCAGTTTCGTTTTTGATCTCATTCGGAGCATCTACGAGGAACGCACTTTCGTCGTCCGCGACCAGGCGGTCACCTCCGAAGGGGCAGAGCCAGAGGTCCGGCATCTCGCAGGGCTGCCCTCTCTCGCCATTTCTCTTCATAACTGTGATGACCGCGGTGATGGCGGACGAGGAATCAGCGGTGCAGCCGTCGTTGCCGGGACAACGCAGGCAGCTGGTTTACGCAGACGACGCTCTGCCCATGGCCAGGACTGTTGATGACATTCAACGGTGGCTCCAGGCAGTGTGCCAATCTGCAGCCAACGTGGGTCTGGAGATGCACTGGGGCAAACTACAACTGTTGAGGGTTCGCTGCGATGGGATCGTTCGCGCGCCCACAGGGGAAGCAATCGAGGCTAAAGACTCGCTGTCCTACCTGGGAACCACAAATCAGCAGCGCGACGGGCGAGCGAGTGGCGAAATAACGAGACGGATCGGCATGGCTTTCGCCGCTTTCAGAAGCATGAAGCAGCTTTGGGGCCATACTTCGATTTCTCTAGACAGGAAAGTGGAGCTGTTCAACGGTATTGTGGTGCCCGAGCTGAAGTACAGCCTCAGCGCGGTCTGGTTGAATGCTGCAGAGCGGAGGCGGATGAACGGGGCACAGGCCCGGATGCTGAGATGTGTCGTTGGTATCAAGCATCCCATGATACCCCGTGTTTCCAATGACGAGGTGCGCCGGATAACGAGGCAGGAGCTCGCCACTGACATGCTGCTGAAACACCAATTGGATCTATATTGCAAAGCCGCCCAGGGAGGTGACCACTGTCCGCTACGTAACGCGGTGTTCTACCCGGGGACCATGATACCGGTCAATGATACGTGCGTTCGGAACATCGGCGCCCCCCAGTTGGAGTGGGCGAAGCAGCTGCGCCCACTTCTGCGAGCTCGCTTGAGTGCTGATGCACGCCGCGCCGACGCGCCGTAGGGCGCATGGCGCACCTCACGCCTCCTCATTTTCCAAGTGCCACCCCTGAAATACCACGCCGTGTGTGCCTTTCAGCGACGGCCCTCCCGCCACAGCACGGCGGGTTCACGCATGGCACAACGCCGCTTGGCACGGGAACCCTTCTTTTTCTTGATCCGCTTCTGCGCCCGGATCCTGATAGCACGCTTCTGACACCGCGTTGTACTTGAAGGAGTCGTAGGGCCAACGACAGCAATTGTCGCCCCAGTGCCAGCCACATTCGGCTCCAACACCGACGCGCGTTGGCCAAACGAGTCGCCTATCTGCCCCCCCAGGATTCGCCACTGACACCACATCCCCAGCCAGAGCCGAAGCCCCCACCGCCTCCACGGCGCGATGATCCCGGGGAGGGTGTTCACTCCCGCCCCCCAACAGAACCGAGCCGACTCCAGACGGCACGGGGGATGGCCGACCCGAGCACAACCAACAGAACCCAGCCACAGCTGCCAACGACCAGACCCCTCCCGAGGCTCCAGAGAGAGAACCACGAATGGGGCTTGGGTTAGCATCATCCATTGCCCCCACCCCCCAACACGAGTTAAGAAAGACAATAACGAAGACATGCAGGGAAAGCCAACGAGCGGCCACGAGGAGGCCTGCTCACCTGCTCGTCGCTGCTCACCCTTGGCACAGCATCATCACCATGTATGTCTTCAGCATTTCCATTACCCATCGCCCGTCGCCTGGTGCAGTTCACGAGGGATCGCGATCCTCGGGCACGATCCCTGGCACTTTCTCTGGCGCCTCCCCTGGGCACGTCGCGCGGCGCGTCCCCTGGCTCGTCCCCAGGCACGCCCTCCCCCCCCCGCACGTCCCCTGGCATATCCGCTGGCACGTTCCGTGGCGCGCCTCCCTGGCACATCGCGCGGCGCGTCCCCTTGCACGTCCACTGGCACGTTCCATGCCGCATCCGCTTGGCACGTCATTCTGCGGCGCAGCACATCGCAGAGAAGCACAAGACAGCTCCATGGCATAGTCGCACCCCCATGGGTATCTTCAGCATTGCCATTACCCATCGCCCAGTTTAGGTGCCTGGAACGCTCCCAGGTCTCGCAGTTTAAACCCCTTTCTTGGTTTTTGGGCCGATCATGTTTCATTCATGTTCAGACACATTTGTTCTCAGCAAATGCCGTGTAATCTTGCTCACACTCACAATCGATCGTACCCTGATGGTTACACGTGGGTAAGGTAATTACGTGCATATTCGGGCTTCCGCGTCGAAGTGCAGATTTGTAGGGGGCGTTGGGGTGGCAGGGCGTGTTGCAGTATCAGTGAGGCGTGCTGGGCCCAATATGGTCCTCGTCGTTCTCACCCTCTGTGACACTCCTCGCGTTAGTCCTCCCACTCCTTCTCTTCGCCACCCTACTCTTTCTCCTCGTTCTCCTCCCACGTCAAAAGAGTCCCCCAGATCTCTTCGCGACGCCGGCGGTGCCCCTCGCGGTGCCGGTCGGCGTGGCGCCCCCACTGCTTGACATGATGGGAGGCGGCCCAGCAGCTGCTCGCCTCCGGCCGTGCTGGGCGGGGAGCCCAGACCCCTGGCGCCATGAGTCGTGAACGGGCGTTTGCTTTTACCTTTGCTGTTGCTTTTGCTTGGCTCCCAGGGGACTGGGGGAACCGCCCGGGGCGCTTTCCACTGCCCGGCCCCTTTAAGCAAGACAGTAGTAGTCGTAGTAAGTCACAGTCGTAGTCGTAGTTGCGTAGTAGTCGTCGTAGTAGTAGTAGTAGTAGTAGTAGTAGTAGTAGTAGTAGTAGTAGTAGTAGTAGTAGTAGTAGTAGTAGTAGTAGTAGTAGTAGTAGTAGTAGTAGTAGTAGTAGTAGTAGTAGTAGTAGTAGTAGTAGTAGTAGTAGTAGTAGTAGTAGTAGTAGTAGTAGTAGTAGTAGTAGTAGTAGTAGTAGTAGTAGTAGTAGTAGTAGTAGTAGTAGTAGTAGTAGTAGTAGTAGTAGTAGTAGTAGTAGTAGTAGTAGTAGTAGTAGTAGTAGTAGTAGTAGTAGTAGTAGTAGTAGTAGTATAGTAGTAGTAGTAGTAAGTAGTAGTAGTAGTAGGTAGTAGTCGTAGTAGTAGTAGTAGCAGTAGTAGCAGTAGTAGTAGCAGTAGTAGTAGTAGTAGTAGTAGTAGTAGTAGTAGTAGTAGTAGTAGTAGTAGTAGTAGTAGTAGTAGTAGTAGTAGTAGTAGTAGTAGTAGTAGTAGTAGTAGTAGTAGTAGTAGTAGTAGTAGTAGTAGTAGTCGTAGTAGTCGTAGTAGTCGTAGTAGTCGTAGTAGTCGTAGTAGTAGTAGTAGTAGTAGTAGTAGTAGTAGTAGTAGTAGTCGTCGTAGTCGTCGTCGTGGTAGTCGTCGTCGTGGTAGTCGTAGTGGTAACCCGAACCCGCGTGTTCCTGGGGAGGGTCGGGATCCTTTCCAGCAGTGAGAGCCTGGCGAGAGCTTCAACGGGTCGGCGCTGATGCCCCGATTGGCCTACTGGGGACCGCGTTGTGGTTCGGGCATCGGTTGACCAGCCCGATCCCGAACATCGATGATATTTGTTTTCATGGTATGAGAAGGTCGAGTCCATATGTAGGTCTGCTTGAGGCTCTGGGAGGCCACAAACATCGTCTTACGGCGCGACGAAATACGTGCGAATGATAGAGGGAGAGAGTCGAGAGCTCTGGATGCACTATGGAAGCGACGCCATGACGTCGGCGGTATGGGGTGGCCGCGGGAGCAGCAAGCAGAACGGCACGGAAGCGTTTTCCTCCGTTCACCATTACGTCTGGTCTTCTGTTGGCCGTTCGGTGGCCCTCGCCGCGGTGGATTTCGTTTCAGCGATTGGCATGGATCGCAGCCTGGAGTGGGGGGATCTTGACTGTTTGTCCTCGTGTGACACTTGCGCACAGCACGTGCTTCTTGCAGGCTTTAGCAGGACGAGGCGTGAAATTTGGAAGTAATTGCGTGTGCGTAGACAGGCTCGTGGTGGGTGCGTTGCCGAGAGATGCTTTGGTAGGTGGTTGTGGGTGTCATTGTGTGTGTCCGAGGCGGTGGTGATTGCACTGTCATGCATGTCAGGCGCACCGACCCATGCAGCGCGCTGCTACTTGGCGAGGCCCGCACAGGCAGAGTGGGACGAAGAGTGGGACGACACGGGTCACACCTGGCCCTCATGCAGGTCCATGGAAGGCCCAGCAACTTTTGTTCGTTGGCGGCGAGGCAGGGTTGGCTGCACCAGCGCTAAAGCTAAACAGGGGCACCAAAAAGCGAATTGGCCAGCGTGCAGGAGCGGGGAACAGACAGACAGGACGGACGCGGAGGGGGGGGAAGAAGAGGCCACTCAGAGGTGGAAGAGGGCCAGCAACATGCGATGCCAGCTAGGGACGAGTTTCAGCTGGCCCCAGCGAGAAATTACACAGACGACCACCTTTGCGCTCACGACGATTCCTGCACTTTCACTGGGAACGTCCCACGACGTGGAGAATCACCAGACCGAGGGTCTTGAACCTCACCTTAACGGAGGCGGTCGGCCAGACAGGACGGCCAGACATGAGAGAAACCCGCGATTGGCGTGGGCCGGATATACCTTGGCGTCGTCGCAAGCCGCAAGTCCTCGTTAAGTTAGCCGTTGCGTCGGTCCTCTCCATATGCTTTTCGTATCCGTCCTGGTTTCATGTTTCCGGAAAGGGCGTGGGCCAAGGGTTCTTTTCCCGGAAAGGGCGGGGGCCCAGGGTTCTCTCTAGTGAGGTTTACCTCTGGAATCGACTTGAACGAGGCCGGCGGAATTATTTTGCGATCAATAGCGAGTTTGAAGGAGGCCGGCGGAATTATTTTTGAGGATGTCTCGAGCGAAACGCTTGTTTTTCAGAATTTGCTGAGGATGTCTCGAGCGAAACGCTGGTTTTGCATAGGTGGGGAACGTCTCGAGCGAAACGTTTGTTTTTGTTCAGAATTTGTTGCGGATGTCTCGAGCGAAACGCTAGTTTTGCAGAGTTGTGATATCTAACATGGCGTCGGGCCCAACGCCGAATGATGAGGAAACGCACGGGGGGTCGAAAAACGCTACCCGAACACATGTCCCAATACAGAAAAGTTATGCTTTCTTGCTCTGAACAGGGGGTTGCACTTTGGGGGACTCTCCAGAAAGCGAGGATGTCTCGAGCGGGCGCGCGAATTCAGCGTATCCAGGTCACGCAGGGGGGTATCTAACATGGCTGTCCCGAGCTGGAACCATGGTTTGTCCCGGAAAGGGCATAAGCCCAGGATTCTCTTTTAGTTGGTTTACCTCCAGGTTTGACTTGAGGTGGGCCGGCGACTTTCTTTTGCGATAAATATCGAGGTCGAGGTGGTCCGGCGAATTAAAATTTGAGGATCTCTCAAGCGAAACGTTTGTTTTTCAGAATTTGTTGAGGATATCTCGAGCGAAACGTCTATTTTGTTTTATATATTGTCCTCTCCTGGGGACCAGAATTCAGAGGATCTCTCAAGTGAAATGCTTGTTTTCACGTGCCCCGGTCTTGAGGATGTCTCGAGCGAGACGCTTGGTTTCACGCCTCCAGGTTGCTCACGCAGAGGTCTAGCGCCAGGATTTGTTGAGGATGTCTCGGGCGAGACGCTTGGTGTCACGGTCCTCGTCGCCCAGGCGGATGTCTAGCATGAGGATGTGTTGAGGATGTCTCGAGCGAGATGCTTGTTTGCACGTGTCCAGGTTGCCGAGGCGGATGCCTAGCATGAGGATGTGTTGAGAATCTGTCGAGAGATACGCTTGTTTTCACGTGTCCAGGTCGCCCAGGCGGATGTCTAACATGAAGATGTGTTGAGGATGTCTCGAGCGAGACGTTTGCTTTCACGTGTACAGGTCGCCCAAGCGGATGTCTAGAATGAGGAGGTGTTGAAAACGTCTCGAGCGAAGCGCTTGTTTCCACGTGCCCAGGTCACCCAGGCGGACGTCTCACATGAAGATGTGTTGAGGATGTCTCGAGAGAACCACTTGTTTTCACGTGTCCAGTTCGCCCAGGCGGATGTCTAGCATGAGAATGTGTTGAAGATGTGCTGAGCGAAACGCTTGTTTTCACGTCAGGCGGATGTCTAGCAGGAGGATTTTGACAGGATGTCTCGAGCGAAACGCTTGTCCTCAGCACGTTCCGTAGCGCGTCCCCTTGGCACGTCCCGCGGTACGTCCCATGGCACGTCCCCTGGCACGTCGCCTGGCGCGTCCCTTGGGACGTTCTGTGGCGCGACCTCCTGGCATGTTCCCTTGTCAATTAGCTCTGGGGCAGCTACTTTGTGCTCAGGCAGCTCGAGCTTAAGATCCAGATCAGTTCGGTCAGGACTCGAATGCAAAGGAGGACTCGATGCACAGCGCTATAGAGCACAATCGCGGCATGGCACATCGCAATTCAGCACGGCGCAGCACAGCACAGCCCTCGGAACGGTACAGCAAGATCGATGCACTCAGCAATGCAACCTGGCACGTTTCTTGGCACGTTCCGTGGCGCGTCCCGTGGCGAGTCCCCCTGGCGCGTCGCGTGGCGCGTCCCTTGTCACGTCCCGTGGCATTTCCATTGGCACGTTCTGTAGCTCGTCCCCTTGGCACGTCCCGCGGTACGTCCCCATGGCACGTCCCCTGGCACGTCGCCTGGCGCGTCCCTTTGGGACGTTCCGCGGCGCGTCCTCCTGGCATGTTCCCTTGTCAATCAGTTCTGGGCCAGCTACTTTGTGCTCAGGCAGCTCGAGCTTAAGATCCAGATCAGTTCGGTCACGACTCGGATGCAAAGGAGGACTCGATCCAAAACGCTATAGAGCACAATCTCGGCATGACACATCGCACTTTAGCACGGCGCATCTCAGCACAGCTCTCGGCAGGTTACAGCAAGATCGATAAATTCAGCATTGCATGTGCCCGTCGCCCAATCAGGTGTCTTTGAAAACGTTGCCATGCGTTGCATGTCTATATTCCTTTCCGGGTTCGTGGGTCGATCATGTTTCATGCTCAGGCCAGCCAGGGAGATCTCTAACATGTGTGTCCCGAGTTGTAACCACTTGTTTTTACGTGTCCAGGCCACCCAGGGGGTATCTAACATGGTTGCCTCGAGCTGGCACCACGTGTTTTTATTACGTGTCCAGGCCACCAGCACGACGCTTGTCCCCAGCACGTTCTGTAGCGCGTCCCGTTGGCACGTCCCGCGGTGCGTCCCCCTGGCACGTCCCTTGGCACATCGCTTGGCGCATCCCTTGGAACGTTCCGCGGCGCGTCTTCCTGGCATGTTCCCCTGCCAATTAGCTCTGGGACAGCTACTATGTGGACTATGTGCTCAGGCAGCTCGAGCTTAAGATCCAGATCAGTTCGGTCAGGACGCGGATGCTAAGGGGGACTCGATCCACAACATTATAGAGTACAATCGCGGCATGGTACATCGCAGTTCAGCACGGCGCAGCACAGCACAGCCCTCGGCACGGCACATCAAGATCGATATTCTCATTCAGCATTGCAACTTGGCACGTTCTGTGGCGCGTCCTGT